ATATATATATATATATATATACAAATATATATATATATATATATATATATATATGACATTTCAAAATTGAAAATAGCAAAATTATTTTCCATGTACATGTCTGATTTAAACAAATCGAACCAATGGATTTGTAATAGCATTTTTAAATGTTACAGTTTATAATCTACCACATCCTAAAATATTAATAAATACTGCTTATAAATTACAAATACCTTGATGAGCCCTGGAGTGTCACAGCTGAAATCTCTTCTTCTTCAGCACAATTGGGGCATTAGAGAAAAATGTTTGCTTTTTATACGTTTCAGCATCACTTCTCTATACCCCTCCTCTCGTGCAGCCGGACACATTACGAAGTAGAGTGACAGGAATATATACATCCGTTTTTTGGCAGAGCTTTAGTTCCCTGTCACTCTGGCCAAACGGGTAGAGACGACTGATGAATTGCATTTTCCCGATTTTATTTTTTTGCACCTTGAACCACAATGGAGCTCTCTGTTAGTCAAGAACAGGATACATTGTTTTACCTCTTTCCTTACCTAAAGGAATGAACAAAAGGTATCTGCAGATCAAACTTGCAGATACCTTTAGCCTGGTATGAGTCTGTTACTTTTCTGACTTTCTTCTTTCATAAAAACAGTTAATATTTATATATGTATACACCATAGACTGTATGACATATACACACATACAGACAACCATTGCTGTTGGAGGGGCAGCCAAAATACTAATAAATAAATGGACTAGCTGCATGCCATTGGGCACCAGCAAGAAGGTTTTCTAGTATGTTTAGAGGGCAGCGTCTTCGTTCCCTTGACCTTTGCAAAGTAAATGATGACGCACAGACTTATGGCCTCTGGTAGGTGATTGACATCGTCAAAGAGTGCAGCCAAAACAGAGAGACGAAGGGAGTCAGATAAGGTAAATACTAGATTTTCTAGTTAAAGTAAAAATGATGTTTTTCAAGTACAAAACCTTTTTTTATTTTCTATGATCAAAACTGCAAAACATCTAGAAAAATATACAACAAATGCTTAACCTTTCACAACATTTAACATTTGAAAATGGGAACATAAAAGAGAAGGAATATTCACATTTTCCCCATTAATGATAAAAGAACATTCATTTTTATTTCCTTTCTTTTACATAACATGTTTTTATATGCTTGAAATTATTGTTAAGGTGTGCCGCTTTCTGTTTTTTTTTTTAAACATCTCCACAGTAGCCAGAGTCGTTGGAGAGTTGTGAGTTGGAGCTGCGGTTGGAGGAAGAGTTCCATATGTCCAGGTTCATGTGTGGGCCGAAGGGGTTGAAGCTGGAGTACAGCATCGGTGCGCAGGTCACCTCTGGCTCCCGGGTGAAGGGGGAGTGAGGCGGGGTGATGGGGGACACGGGGGACACAGGGGACATCGGGGCTGAGCGCTCAGGGTGGAAGTGGCTCTGATAAGGCTCGCTCTGAGGCGTCCAGATGGATCCAAACAGGCTGGACATGGGGGAGAGGCTGCGGGTTCCCGAGAAGTATGGCTGCGAAGAGAAAGAGAGGTGATTATTATCTGTTGAGACACTTTTTCTGAGATATCGTTGCCACTTTATGCGCCGTCCAAAGCTGTATCGAAGTATTATACGTCTATGACCTTTTCTAACCTCACCTGTCTCTGTGCTCTGCTACCACCGGCTGTCTGATCCCTGCAGTGATGACCTGGCTGTCGTTTCCCTGCATTTTAATCTTGTCTCTCTTTTCCGGCTCAAATTAAAATGACCTTCTCGCTCTGGTTTCCCTCCATCATAACCAAAAATACTCATCTTTTGGTGATGGTGGTTATGTATACGCCATGTAACGACAATGTCCATTGTTTGATACCAGCTGAAGAGCTTTGACTTCCCAGACCACTTCTACATGTCACACTCTCAAAATATAAAAAAATACAATATAAATAAGATATATTTTCTAATAAATAAGAGCCAGTAAAGCCATGACTTACTGCTGTAGGTTTTTCTTACAGTACCTGACTCAAACAGGAAGGAGCACAGAAATCGAGCACAAGTAGATGCAAAATGCTTGAAAGATTTGCGATTGAAATGCATTCTCTTGGGCAGTGCCACTTTAGTGTGTGTATTTTTAAGTACTCACTAACCATAGTTTTAGTTTTTTTAAATGTCATTACACAGTTTCCCTTCAATGATTACCTTAAGCATTCGGCCAAAAGGATACTGGTATTTTGAGGTAGAACTTTTGAGACCAGCGGTTGAAAGTAAACAAATTAAAAGTATCTGATACCTGCCTTTCTTGGGGACGTAAAATCCACTTCCACAAATGTGGGCTATTAAAATAAAAAAAACAGAAGCTGCATTTGCAGTTTGTATTTATGAGTTGAAATCTATTTTTGTGCTGAAAAACACATGCATTCTGGTAAACTGTAGCTTTGTTTAAGTGCTCAAAACTCTAGTTCCTCATTCTGCTCTGCAACTTCAGCAGATTAGTTAAAAGAGATGAGAACTTCCTCTGTCTTTATTATTTTCATGTATACACAATTATCCAGTTTTGCATTTAACACTAGAACCGGGAATTTGACCCAGAGCTGTTTTTTATTGTATGTAACTTTTTTTCAATAAAATATTAAAGTCTCCCAGTCCGTGACTTTTCCTGAAAGTGTGTTATGTAGCACCCTATGTTGTTAAAAATTGTCAATATGAAGTCAGATTGAAGAAATCACCCCAAAAAATTGCCATTTATACCTATTTCCGCCCAGGGGGTCATATTGACCCCACCCCTTTTCGCGCTATTGATTTCGCGTGTATACAAACATGACGTGTTGCTATAGCAACGCCTTTTGTCGACTGCGGTTCCTTATAGATTGAGAGATAGAGAGAGAGAGATAGATAGATAGATATATTGATAGGGACAGTCTGTAGTGAAGGACCACGCTCCCGCTCTTTTTAAAGCAATACTTTTACCTTGAAAATCAATGCATTCTAATACCGGGTCAATTTGACCCCGGTGGCGGTTTTAGGTATAAAAAATGTTCTGGCGGTTTTAGTGTTAATCTGGGTGTATACATGTTCACACAGTGTCTGGCTTTCAGTGCACAGGGGTGGGGTGGCAGGTACAAATAATCTCGACCATCTCAGTTCTTTAGGCAGCAACAAGCTGTCTGATTGGACTAGTTCATGTAACACACACCAGTGCGTTGTGTGTACTTTCTCAATGTTCGCAAGTACATTTTTTTTTGTAACTCTCATAATGCAACAATACAAATGTGCGGTTGTGTCAATGCATGTGGGAATGCCATACACTGTAATACACTGTAATCAGAGGTAACTAAGAACTACAATTCCTCACGGTCAGTTTAATGTCGTGTCACATGATACTAAACTGAACATGTGAACACTAGAATAGCCAACTTTTGCAGGTTGAGTTGGTCTTTATACTACAAACTCTCTGTTATGAATCAACTTAATATCAAAACAAAACCAGACCATTGAAGATATCACATTGAGCTCTAGGGAAGCCTTTTTCACTGTTTTCTGGCTTTTTATAAATATCATTAATATAATCTGCGGATTAGTTGATAGTGGGACTCGTTAGTTGCAGACCTGCTCCCAAACCTAAATGAACCCGTCCTGAATATGATTAACAGGATCCAGCTGCAGCTGGATTTAAAGCCTTTGAGCACCGTGCCTCCTCACCTTGCTACCCACACAGGCTGCTGTGTCCCAGGCTGAGGGCGACTCCTGCTGCGGCTCCTCACTCCAGCTGCTCTGGTTGCTGTGTGCATGCTGGACCTCCTGACCGGGATAACCACTTGGAAATGTTCCATTACCTACGAGATGATTAGAACAAACACTATTTCAATAGAGAGAAACCTAAGTTAAGCAGAGTCGATGTTTTATTTAATGAAAAAAAATAAAGAACCGTGTGGTACAAATACATAGCTTGATTAATGAATAGGAAATGGCATGTCATGATTTGTACCTATGTATTTCCTTTCCTCACAGTAGGTGTAGGGACTGTTGCACTGGCTGTTGGCACTACTCCAGGTAAACCTGCAGAAAGAAGGAAACATTTAAACGGACGGCTTTAACAGCGACAGATTAAACACAAAGACACATTACAGCAGCAACACGAGGGTAATTATTCAAGGTGTAAACCGGTATCAGCTATCATGCCAGGAGAGATGTACAGTATCTTATTAGTGGCATTTTTTAGCCGTTTAGATACAGGGGTAGGTTGCAAAGATGCATACACACATTACCCTGGCAGCAGTTGTTTTTAAATAGAAGATACACATTTGAAAGTAATTTTAATTTGGTCAGAAACTATTTAAGGTTAAGCTTTGGTAAAAAGCAAGGACCCGGGTGAACACATTAAGTCACTCATTATATAAAGAATTAACAGCCAGAGGTTTATAAAGAGTAGCCTTCAATGAATATATTACAGATCAGAGATATACAGTATATGAAGTAGTATAAATACATGAAGTATGATAAAAACACGGCAGCAGATTATTTTCTGACACTTTGGGGGCAGAGGAACAACACAAAAAGTGGACAATTGTAAATCTAACATAACAGTGTGATGTTTATCAAGTTCCTTTTTTCCACATCCGGCAGACACGGGCATTTATGTGGAGTCATGTATTTTTCTTATTTTCACTTTCTTTTTTTGTCTTAACCAAATCCTTTTGAAATCAACTGGCTCTTCAAGTTGTTTAAGGTCCAAACTGGTTTAATTAGTTCTCAAAAACGTTGTCTATCTGCTGTTTGACATAAAAAGTTACCTCTTTCACAGAACAATACATTTCATCCATAGTTAATATAAAAATACGGATGACTTTATTTGAACAACACTGCAGTGGAACACTTACCCGTTGTATGAGGCAGAGGTTGGTGGCTGAGGTATGTAGGGCAGGGCTTCGGTGGTGTTGTATCTGAACTCATTGGTGAGGGGGATGGACGGAGCGGACCACGTCTCTTCAGGCAGATACTGACCTGTCAGATCTGAGGGAGCACACAACCACTCTTTATTAGAAAGCAGAAGTAACGCACAGATCTTACTTGTTGAAGACAGAAGTTTATCTAAGACTTTGCTTTTCTTTAAAAAAAAAACATAAAGTATTTATCTGCTACGAATATCTTTACCCATGTTCCGGTCTACTCCTGCGGCCACGGCAGCAAAACTCGGAGCGAAGCTGGGCGCGGGGGGGTCAGGGCTTTGGCACACTTCTTTACGGTACAGGCTGTTCATGCTGAACAGAGAAACAGAGAAAGTTACAAAACAAACAGGGGATGGATTAAAAACAACGGTATATTTTTCTTTCGTCTACAAACAATACTGATCATGTTTTTTACAGTGGCCAATCAACATTGCCTTAATTATTGTGCAACATGAGCGTATGTATCAACACTTATATTTTAGTTCTTAATCCATTGCATATGTTTTTCCCCCTGATTTTTTATTTTGTCCAAATTGACACGCAAATAAAGAAGTGTTTCTTTTTTGACTAACATATACGGTACTAAGGTAATGACCTGCTTCTGAGCAGGCTCACGCCATCATAATGGCTAATGTTGTGTGTGAGTAACTGGGTGAGTGTGTGTTTGCTGAAGTACCTGAGAGCCTTGTAGTTTTTATTCATGTTCTGGTAGCAGTCTCTCTCTACTGGGTAGACGCCGTACTGCATGGGCTCCCCTGGGGGAAAATCAACAACAAATCTGTTCTAAAACAATATCAAAACCATTCTCATCTGTGACATAATAACAGCCACAGTGTTTTACATGATGATAAGACCTCATGTTGTGGGAAGTAAGCAAGTTTCGTTCTTCCGAAAAAGTATTTCTCACTTTTTCTAGATGAGGTAGAGTAGGCGTGTGTTCGGGCGTCTTTCTCTCCCTCCATGCTGCTGGCGCTGCTCCAGCTGCCCCAGCTGCCCCTGCTGGCCCGCACGCTGCCCGACGAGCTGCCCGAGTCCGAGCCCGACTCACACACTGCCCCACCCTGACGCTCGGTGGCACACTTCCGTCGAGTACGAGCAGGACACACACCTACTGCACATCAACAAAGCAGGTGACATTCAAATCAAGTGTTATTGTTTGTTGGTACAGCTGCAGAGGAGTGAGAGACAGACAAGAGATGAGGACACCCACCATTCTGTTTGAGGGGGCTCTCAACACTCAGTGCAGGCTTTGGTGCTTCTGACTTGGAGATGTTGCAGCAGCGGTTCCTGTTGCGGGGTCCGCTGATGTTACGCTCGCTTGTTTTCCACTCGGGTTCCTTCTCCCTCTCTTGTATCACGACCACATTGTGCTCAGGGGCGCTGGGGCCACACAGAAACAACAATTAGACATCTCATCTGACAATGTTTAGCTCTTTATTACACTGTTTGCTGTTGTTTGTTGCAATGCCATTGGATGCTGACTTTCTCTTTTTTTAAACTAATTATGGTTATATATCTGAATAAATGTAAATTGATTCAAGGATGAGCACAAAGGTAAAGGTGAGGTCTACCTGGAGACGGTTTCTGTCTTCCTGCGACTCCTCTTTCCCTTATTATTCCCTGATGCAGTGCCAGCCTCTGCATTCTGTGCTTTCTGTTTCTGGCCTTTGCCTTCTTCTCTTAGCTGGAGACAGAAGAAAATAAAGTGATGTTTTTTCATGAATGAAAAGTAAAAGGTAATTGAACATAGGAAATGTAAGTGTCAGCTCCTTCCTTACCTCCATTTCAGAGCCGTCCCTTTTCTCAGAGTTGATCTTCTCTGCGTAGTGCTCGGTGCACTTCTTCTCTACAGGTCGGCACAGCAACAGGCCGGGTCTAGGTCCTGGACCTACTGTCACGTTGTCTGGGAAACTAGCAGGCGTTTCCGTGGGAAACATAACCGCTGCTGGCACTCTTTCTTCTACAGTGCTGTGGGAGTCGTCTTTAAAGTCTGCGGAAATCTTTTCAACGTGCTCACTGATGAAAGCTGGTTCGTTGTTGTTGCAGACGTCAGAGTCTGGGGTCAGAGGAGGGTCCTGAGTCAGGTCTTCATGCTCTTCATCCATCATAACAGCATCAGGCGCTGCTGTGGACAAGCTGGACTTATGTTTGGTGTAATAGAGTGAAACCTTGTGTTTCTTCTGTGCTTGGGTGGGGGTGGTTAAGGAGGCTTTCTTTGAGGATGGTTGGGGTCGCTGGACGGGGCTGTTTGCCAGGGCTGGAGAGCCACGCCCCTTTCCTTTGTCAGAGGTGTGACAGGTGTCCACATAGCTCTTACAACTACCCTTTGTTTTACTGCACAAACAAGAAAAAAACAACAACATTTAAGTATTTTAATCCAATTGCAGTATTTGTCTTTATGTAAAAAGTCTCACGTGGTGCATACAAACTATTATAAAACACGGGACATACTTTATGCCGTTGGGTGTGATGTTATTGACGGAGTCGTTGTCGCGGGACAGGACAGAGTTGTGGTTGCTCCTGATGCTGGGGGAGGAGAACTCACTGAGGATATACCGGGCCTGATGCAAGGCCATCAGACACACCCCGAACAGAGAGAAGCTGAAACAGATATAACAGATAATGCATTAAACTGACAGAGTTGAACTATTATTTAGTTGGAATGCTGTTAACAGTCAGAACATTCCAACTAACTGTTCTTCTATGCACGAAAAGTTTATTATTCCGCCGACTTATTTTGCCGCGCTTCTTCTCCCGCATTGAACATCGCAGAAACTCCGTTCAAACATCAAAACGTTCAGCTCGGTTGGGAATCGATGGCTATTACTTTTCTCATTCATAACTTTCATAATTCCAGAGATACATCCCATAATTCATCCCATTTTTTTATTATTCCGCCGACTTATTTTGCCGCGCTTCTTCTCCCGCATTGAACATCGCAGAAACTCCGTTCAAACATCAAAACGTTCAGCTCGGTCGGGAATCGATGGCTATTACTTTTCTCATTCATAACTTTCATAATTCCAGAGATACATCCCATAATTCATCCCATTTTTAACATTTGAACTTTAACATTGCGCAGCTCGTTAAGGCAGAGTGCGTGATGTCAGAGTTAGAGTGGAGGTTAGTTTGANTTTCTCATTCATAACTTTCATAATTCCCGAGATATAGCCCATAATTAATCAAATTTTTACGTTTTAACTTTAACATTGCGCAGCTCGTTAAGGCAGAGTGCATGATGTCAGAGTTAGAGTGGAGGACAGTTTGAAATTTAAACTGCCTTAATTCCCAAACTCTACATTCCTGAGACATAATTTTTCATGACAAACGTAGGAAAACATCTTGTAGCTTGAAAAATGACAAATAATTAGGCAAAAATAATTAAACAAAATGCCTCTTGAGGGCATGAAGTGACAAAAACTTTCAACATGTCTCCATTAAATAGACCCTCCAGAAAAACGCGATTCTGCGATCGCAGAATTTACCGCATAATCAGCAAAATGGCGCAGATTTCTAAAAGGCCGCATATTTATCAAAAGGCCGCATAATCCCCGCATTTTTCCACACAAAATTGAGAAAAAAAAAAGTGAACTCGTCTTGACGTGACGTCATCAGCTCGCGCATCACAGAATGTAAACAACACTGTGTGCTGAGTGAACGTGTGGAGCTCACAAAATAGAGAAAACACCAAGATGAAAATATCTAATCCATCTCATTTACCGACGAACATTTCTACTAAAGACCGGGCAAAAAGTGAGGGGAAACTATTCTGCACCCCGTGCAACTGTGTGTTGGAGCATAAGAGAAAATCGACGGTGACGACCCACTTTGATTCATTCAAACGAAAATGCTTTCTGCTGCTGCGGACAAGAAAGCCAAACAACTCACGTTCACGAGGCATCAACCTCCAAAACCCTTTCGAGGGCTACAAGAAACGAGGTGAGTAGCCTACAAGATTGAAGCTGCAGATAATGAACGAGTAAATGAAAACAGAATGAGGCGGAGAAGTGTGTGTGTGTGTGTGTGTGTGTGCGTGAGATTAAAATAGCCCATTTGCTTTTACAATAAATAAACATTGAATGTGTTTAATTGAATAGTAAAGGGGTTTAACAAAAGCAAATGGGCTATTTTAATCTCACGCACACACACACACACACACACNGGCTCCCAACTCGTTTTAGAATTTATTTTAAGGTTCATTTTTCATTTCATTTAATCGTTTATTTGAACCGGGACAGTGCACATTGATGAACACTTTAAAACAAAAACAATGCTTACAAGTGTAAATGAGCCGGATTTTAGCTTTGAGCTCATTTCCATCCGTAGTCCCGTCACATACAACATATGAGAACATGACATTTAGGATCCTCAAGTTGGTTCACTTGCTCTAAATTCCTATTGTGTCAGTTTTATTGTTCCTTCTTATGTCAGCCTCATATTGCACATGATCTTTAAGCTGTGATGTGTTCCATAAAGGATCTTTTAACTTATAATAACTAAATACATTCGATGGGTTATTGAATTGTATGGGCCTATTGGAAGCTCAAAAAAGAGGAAGTCTCGCTTTCAGTTTTGAATTCTTCAGAAAAAAACAGGCGTGTATGTAAAGCTCAACCCGATTTAGCATTTTTTTTTCTAGACCTCACAACAGGACTGCCCTTATAATCACTTACCATATATAGAGTGATATGGCCTTGTGGTGATCTGTTATTGGCTGAAATGCTTTTAAGTCTCCACCACTGCAGACTTTCTAAGTGATACTATAAAAGGTCATCAGATAGCGCAATATATTAACTTAAAATGTGAATTGCTAACTGTGTCGAATTTGAATATTATACTGTAATTCATCTTCAATCAGGGGCGTTTTTTCTATCTACAACTTACCATTCTGGAATAGTGAGATCCTTGAGATACACCCCCACCGCAAGCTCCTCCATGAACAGCATAGTCATTTCCTGGACACGGTTTAAACATGTTTAAAGACTACAGCAGATAACAACCACAGTGTCTGCAGATGTTATCCTGCTTCTTTTCATTTGCTTTTGAAGTGACCAAACCAACCACATCTGCTTTAAAGATTGATTTTTTTAATGTGCAGTGCATGGATAGCACCACTAGAGTTCAGCCATGTGTGGCCTTGAAGTAGTCAGTGATCATTAAAGGCCATTTCTTTTAAAGAAAGGGATGACCACCTAACGTGATGTTGCTAAAATAATTTCAGCCCCTGATTTCATGGTCTTTTACTGTTTCTCCTGCAGGAAGATGCTTCCAACCTCACTACACTGGGTCTACTCGTGGAGTGCAGCTTACCCAAGAGCTTGTTCAACAATGCTCGGGTAACTTTTTAAAGAACAGGTCTGCCCTCTGTGTACATGTTCCCTACAGTCTTTTAACTACAAACAATTTTTTTTGTATGTCTTTGAATTCATCTTGGTAATAAACATTCTTGAATCGGAAAGCAGTCAGAGTTTGAGAGGGGAAAACATATGGCTGAATTTGAGGAAAATGGAAAATACTGCATTTTTTGTGATATGCCATTTTTAGCTTGTTCCCACTCAGTGAGTAGTAGTGAGTGTTTCTCACTGCTCTCGTCCCGCCCACGCCTCTGAGCAGAAGGCTAGCTGGTCTAAAACTTCAACAGACAGCCGGCTTGTCATCAGAGCACCTTCTGTTTCCTCCAGAACACCCGAGGAGGGTGAGATCTCTTGCCAGCCTTAATTGCTTTCTCAAGAGACTATAATTGACACAGGGCTCCCATTGCTCATGTGGCGCAATACACATGATGCAAGTGGAGGCTGAAGAAAATACAACTATAGAGTCATAATGAAGCAAACTGAAATAGTCCTGGTGTTGTGTTCCACGAGGGTCCCAGCTGTGACCTTTGGCTCATTTCCAAGAGACTTTGCTAACATAATCGAGAACTGGCCTTTGCTCAGTGCTCAAACTCTCAGATTAAAAGAGCTTTACAGGAAGTTAACAGTGGGCTAGGTTTCAATGGATTAGGTTTGCTATTGCCTCCTTTAAAGCCTGCGTGGCACCAAGGCAGTGCATCTGTCTTCAGGTCGTCGTCAAGGGCCCATTTACTCACTGCTCCGAGAGGGTGTTAGTCTCAGGGTGGGGGGTGGGAGTGAGTTACATCCCGGTTGTTTTTGTCTCTCAATGAACAGCAAGTGTCTGGTTACTCTGAAGTCACAGCTAAGAAAATATTTCACACTTATCCAATTCCATTTGTTTCCTTTTTAAACCGTCGCCTCATCAACTTGTTCATTGGTTCAATACAAACGTTCTCTTTAGCATCCAACTTCAGCTTTTTCTTTATCGTAATAAGTTTCAGATTCTATGAACTCAAATTGTTATCATGCTTGTGCTTCTGTTTGGTGCGTGACTGGTATGTCTTTCCTGTCCCGTCCCAGGGGTCGTGCCTCCAGAGCGAGGAGCGCCTCAGCCTGCAGATTAATCTGTCTGCGCGTGGTGACCGGCCCACTGACCTGGACAAGCTCAAGCCTTACGTCATTGAGCACATTTTGGTGCTGCTGATGGCCCCCACTGATGGACAGGCTGCAGTAGGTGGGTTGGTTTCACTCAATGTCTGAAAGCAAATTAGCTGTGGGAATGTGACAGTGTGTTGCACAGTGTCACTTAAATATATCACACAGCTTGATACTGACTGACTGACTATGGTGTATTCCTGCTTCTTCACGTCCTCTCAAATGACCTCAGTGAATGGTTATCTTTAGACCTGTTTCTGTGGCGGACCACTCTAAGAGCAAAAGTTCAAAAGGTCGAAATAGTATTTATATTTTCATGCCAAAATTGCATGTGGCTGCTTTCCCCTTCTTCCTGAGTCTTGTTCATTGTAACTGCGGGAGAGATAAGATAAGGGTAATGCTTCGGAAGAAAGACCTGAGAGTAATATAAGAAGACATAAGTGCTTCTTTTAAGGGCTAACTGTCCAGAGTAACACAAAGGCTGAAGACAAAATGTAATCAGCTGCATTGTTTTTACTATTACTGTACTCACTCACTCTGAGGTTTGCTCTTTGTTATTGAACCATTTCAGGAGAAAAAAGCCACTTTAATTGAATTGTTCACCTTTTGTTAAAACAACTAATGGTCTTATTTCTTCTTTGTATGTACAGAGGAACCAACAATAGGAGTGTATATGTTAAATTCTGGAAGCAAGAAGCTCTATGTAAAGGTAAGGTGATTTTCTTGGTTTTGCAATATTATCTTTATTATGGGTTTTATTTATAGACTTTGACAATATTATTGACCTCCTAAGGACATGCAGGTGCTATCGAAAGTGGAGGCCAGCCTGGAGTGTAATCAGGTTCTCCTGAGACCAGAGGCAAACAACTTCACAGAAGTGGCTACACTGGCCTGCAAAGGTAAAGGCTCATTTCATTTCAAATCAATCCTTCTTAACTCGTATCATTTTCTTCTCAGGGCAATTTGATTCGCCCCAGATTGACCTGTAATAATTTAACAATAACAAATCTGTTTCATATTTCAGATTCTTTGCCAGACCACGTGGGGAAATGCATGAATCATATCAGCTTGAAAACTGTGGGAGACCAGACAACCTACATATTCCCAGGACTACATAACAGGTAGAGGAGCCGTTTCACACATTCAAAGCACTTGGTTCTCCCTTTGTTTGAAATCAAAATGAATTTCGCTAGACACAGGCAGCTGAAAATCTCTTATCCCTGCTGTGATGAAGATTAGTCCATTACGGTAGCTGTTCAATGCTCAATGTTCAATGGTCAGGAAGTGTCACTAACACGTGATTCTGAATAACTGAGTTGTTATGGTGATTTATTGTTTCTTTCTGCAGAAGGATCATGGGGGATTTGTTCAGCCTGGTCCAGGTGAAACAAAGCCACGCAGACCAGGTGGATCTGTGGCTGACGAACTCCCTCCTCCTGCCGCTCACTGTGACGAGCGCCAGCCTCTCACAGAAGCTGCAGGGAGTAATGAAGGTACGCACCACCGCCTCGAGTAATGACAGGAAGCACATCTGATTAGATGAGGATATAATGATGATCATTTAACAACGTCTTAGTTAAAGCCAAGAGATTTCTGACATGGGCAAAGTATACTACACGTCAGCCTGTTATCACTTGGAACCCAAGTTCAGGACACACTTTGATATCAATGTCTCTGCTGCCCCCTGTCTGTCAGGTGATGAACTTCAGCGCTCCACTGACAGTCCCCCAGGGCTCCTGGCACGTCCTGTCCCTCCAGTTGCTCAGCAGGACCCTCCCCATCAACCAGGTGTTCACCCTGAGTCTGTACACCAGCCTGGGCACAGTCCTGCACTTCCCCCTCTTCTTCCACTCGTCTCCTTCCAAGGTAAACAAACTTCTCTAGTGTCTACAGTAAGTTAGTAGTGTGGCGGTTAGTTTACAGGAGCAGATGTGGTAACAGGTGATGTTTTTGTGAGCAGGGGGATGTGTTGCTTGAGGCGGACCAAGAGTGTGGACGGCCTTGCCCTCTCAGAATGTCAGAATCAGGTGAGACATGACACCTCATGACATTTAGTGAGACAAAATATACCTATTTCATTGTTCATTTAATAATTGTTTTATTTCCCATCAGGCCGTTCAGAGTGGCAGCGTTCCCTCCTCCCCGACTTTTTCTCCTCCCCTTGGGCCGTTGACGGCAAACTGGCTGCTGAGCTCTGCTCTCGATGGCAGAGCGACAAACACAAACTGTCTTGCAGGTCAGTCCGAAATGCAACACACAACTTTCTTTGTCATGCTATTGTGTGTTTTGTAATCCACCGTTAACATTATCGATCATGGAAATCCTTGTATGCTCTCAGGTGGCCCAGACTCCCCGTAGAGACGTCTCTTCCTCTGGACTTTGGTGCTACACCCGTCAATGAGAGCAAGGTGGGCGAGACAGAAAAGTCCATTTTAATATACTGGATTTACAATTGCTGCCATTTTGTCTGCAGCTCAATGAAAACATGTGTTTGTATTTGTTTCAGGTGAAGACGTTCATGCTGAAGAATCCTTCCTCTTCGGTGGTTTCTGTAGAAATTCGGATCCTCTCCCTGTACCCGGCCCCACTGGAGGCTCTGGACTTCCTTACCAAATGGTAGGCTGTTTTAAATATATTTTGCCATATGCGCAGATTATTTTTCATTTACAGTTTTGTGACTTTGTTTGGATATTGCATCTCATGCTCGAGCACGTCCCTCTGTGTGATCTGTCTTAACAGTTTTTCTCTGTCTTGATTGGCAGGTTTAATATCAGCCCTCAATCTGTCAACATCAGCTCCACAGAGTTTTCTCTCTTGGCTTCTCCCCCCAAGGTAAATCTAGAGATAATCATTTCGTATTTACTCATTTAGAGTTTTGGCCCACGACAGGTAATGCTCATCTAACTACTGTTGCACGTAACACATGGACGCTCTGTCGCTCCTGTTGCTCTTCGTGTTGCTTTCCCTCCAAAACGTTTCCCTCTCTTTCTGTGTGTGTATGTGCAGGCGGGTGAGCACGTGGGAGACATATCGGGGGAGGGTGTCCTGCGTCTGCTGCTGCAGCCCTGGGAGGCCAGAGAAGTTGCTGTGGTCTTTACTCCCTCTGAACACAAACCCACCACCACTATTCTCATCATCAGGTACTGATTCCTATGAGTAGGACGAGTTTGTTCATCCCTTCTTCAATGTGTTTATTCAGCCTTCAAAATGGCGGAGGTTTTTTAAAGAGATTTCTCCAGGTATTTTCATTGCCATTTTATTAGTGATCGATACATGATTTGAATATAAGTGGGACTTAGTTGGTCCTTAATTGTGAATTCAGGAACACTTCTCAATGTTCTACACATGTTTTTATTAAGCATGTTGAGTAAAACATCCTGTGAGACTATGTGTGTCTTTTTGCCCGTGTTTCAGGAACAACCTGACGGTGTTTGACATGATGATGGTGCAGGGCCACGGGGCCAAAGAGCTGCTTAGAGTCGGAGGCAAACTGCCCGGCCCTGGATCCTCTCTGCGCTTCAATGTCCCTCAATCGACTCTCATGGAGTGTCGTGATGGTGAGATCACTTTTCAAACCTAATATCACCACATGATTACATAGCAATACATCTGTTTCTCGTACAGTCATATTAACAGAAAGATAAACATCAGACAGATATAAAACGTTACTGCTTGTCCCTCCTAGGCCTGCGCACCAACAAGCCGCTGTTCGCCATCAGGAAGAGTTTCAAGGTGGAGAATGCAGGAGAGCTTCCTCTGACTGTCATGTCCATGAATATTAACGGCTATAAGTGTCAGGGGTTTGGCTTTGAGGTGTTGCAGTGTCGCCCCTTTAGCCTGGACCACAACACTTCCTCTGAGATCACCATCGCGTGAGTCAATCTTTGCTTGCCTTTTTGATTGAATGTTTATCTTATTAACTTTTCTTTTTAATGACTGATTTTAAATGCCATTTTCTTAATGTCTTTCCTTTTTTGTAAAGCACTTTGAATTGCCTTGTGTTGAAAAGTGCTATATAAATAAACTCGCCTTGCCTTGCCTACAGTGGATTTCTTTTTGGGAATGACTTAATATTTGAATGTTGCGTTACTTCTTCATTGCTGATTTGACAACGCTTTCTATCTCTGGTCGTTTGTTGGTCATTTACTATTCAACTATAGGCAGTTATCACATATGTTGAGCCGCTATCTGATTAATCTCTTCCTCCTTTACATCGCTTCCCTTTCGTCTCTTTCTATATCCACTTCTTTGACTTCATGTTGAGCCGCTATCTGATTAATCTCTTCCTCCTTTACATCGCTTCCCTTTCGTCTCTTTCTATATCCACTTCTTTGACTTTGTCTGTCTCTCCCTGTCTGTGTCCTCAGCTTCACGCCAGACTTCACTTCCTCCTGGGTGATCAGGGACCTCACCCTGGTGACATCACGCGGCACTTCTTTCCCTTTCACCCTGAACGTGACGCTGCCCCACCACATGTTGCCTCTCTGCGCTCAGGTGGTCCCTGGCCCCAGCTGGGAGGAAACGTTCTGGATGGCCACCCTCATCTTCACATGGTTAGTATTTAAATGTAGTTTCACTTGTTTTCTTATTTTGCCCAATGAACGTGTTCATTTCGAAAAGCATTGTATTTTACCCGGCATCTGTTTTGAACATGAAAGCTATCTCACGTGACAAACCCCAAATATTCCTTTAAAGATGAGTGTTTTAATTATGTTTAATGATAAGCCAGTGATGGTCATTTACTTTCTAGATATACATCTATATTAGAGAAATATTATTCAAACTAGAGAATGCAATTCCTGAAGAAATTGCTAGTGGGAATGCTTTATGCTGAAAAGCTGACGCTAAACTGCTATGCTGAAATGTAATGTGTAAGAAGAAATTGAATAATTTAGATTGAAATGATACATGAACACTGGGGGCTTGAATGTGTGATGAGAGAAGAAAAGAAAGTAAAAAGGCTTGGAAAAGCAGCAGAATATTTGAAATTCAAAGTTTTGAACTAACTTGATGGCGAAGGATCTGTCGCCATGCCAACGGCATTTGATGACACCCTATACTACGCTTAGATGCGTTGATGGCTGCATCGTTACCAAACCTGTGAAGTTCTAGGCTGTTTGGAGTATTTTCACTGAAGTTATGAGAAAACCGTGTTTCAAGGCGAGCATTGTGTTGCCATGGCAACGGCATTTGAAGAAATCTCAAAACTGTCCTGTAGATGTCTTCACGGCTGGACTGTTAGCACACTGCTATC